TTCCCTACATTACTATCAAAGTATTTTAATTTGCAAAGTTCCTAAAGCGTTTATGTTGAAAATAGTTTTAGTCCATTATAAAAGAAATACATCTATTGCCAAAAAGTGAGAATTATGTTTTGTTTTGTTTTTTTAACAGTCTGAAAATATTTATAAGAGTGGATTCATTTTTCTGGTGTTAGTAACTAGGAGGATTATATTATGTTAGATTTGTGATAATAAATTCTTGGTTTTTCCAGTAGATAGAATGATCAAGGTATAAGATTATATTTAAAAGTGTTTTAATGAACATGAGGAAAGAGGCAAGGTTGTGTTCAGATTTGCATTACGGGTCATGATTTTTTTCTTGGTAAAATTAGTGCACATGAATTCTTGGGAATTCTTAGATATACTTTAGATTCATTATTAAGAAAGGGTCCTATGTTGGATGTGCGAGGAAAAGAAAAGAGAGAAAATTTGGGAACCCTTCTTTTCTTTGGTGAAGTTAGATTTTCCAGAGTCTCTCAGCTAACATGTGCTGTTCAGGTGTAGACTCTGAAGTGCAAATGAGATAACATTGCAGCTATTTACGGTCATTCTTTTTCATGGCAACAACGGGAGGAGCTACTTAGCCTGGGGTTGTTCATCATAGTGCTTCTCTAGCTTTGGGTTCGGGCAACTGAAAGTCACCGTTCTCTTTGTGGTGTATCGGAGTTTTAAGTTTTTTTATGAAGCTAAGGTGGTTGATGAAAAAGATTATTTGATTTTAATTGAAGGCTTACAGAAGGATAGTTTGAGAACCATTATTTATATTATAATGAAGACTTGAAAATATACCTCAAAAGTATTTTTAGTCAGTTAGGGATATTCTGATAGATCTTAGATAGTTCACAAGTTGATTTTATTACTGCTACTGTTGAAAATTTTTTCGTTTTTCTTTGATATATTCCTCATACTTACCTATTCTGAGAGAAACAAGTATGCTAGGCAAGGGTGTTAAACGGTGAGGTGTACAGAGATTAGAAAAATGTACCAGCCACCAGAAACTTCTGTCAGATTGAAAAGGGCTACAATTTGAAGAACTGGGTAGAAGTAAACCTTCATCTGTGTGTATAGGTGAGCATACTGCTTTCTCATTTATTCAGTAACTGTTGTGGACCTTCCATGTTAATTTGCAGTGCTGTTGACACTCAGCTCTCAGTTTCCCTTACGATAGCTAGGCTAGTTCTTTGGGCAGAAGACCTTCCTGTCTCGATCATCTCTTCAGTGCAGCGATTCTTCTGGCTTTACACTTTTTCAGTGTAGTGGGTACCAGTCTCTGCTCTCTATATAACAAATGGAGGGCTTTAGATAGAGTTAATTCTGTAAAAGTCAATGAACAGTATATAGCATGGTGCAGTTTAGTTTCATGTTGTCAAATCTTAGGAGTTATAAAACATTTCAGCTTTTAAATTTTCCTTAAAACATATTATTCTGTTGCTTGTCAAAGTGTTGTTCTGAACTGATTGCTCTTCTTCAAAATGCAGAATCAAAATTTTGCAAAACTTTCATTTCTCAGATAATGCTTACGATCCTGATGTGAATGCTAAACAGATATGGATTGACAAAACAGTGATAAATGACCATATATGCCTGACATTCACTGATAATGGGAATGGTATGACTTCAGACAAATTACATAAAATGCTGAGGTATGTAAAGTATCACACTCCTTAAAATCATTGCTTTTACCTAGTTCAGGTGTTTCATGTTTCATACTTAGACCCTGTAGTTTTTGTTTTTTAAACATGAAATGCTATACCCACAGTGTGCTCTATTCTCCTAAGTCTTCCATCATTTTCTACTACTGTTAGATTATTATTATTGTTATTATTATTTGCAGTACACGGGCCTCTCACTGTTGTGGCCTCTCCCGTTGCGGAGCACAGGCTTCGGACGCGCAGGCTCAGCGGCCATGGCTCACGGGCCTAGCCGCTCTGCGGCATGTGGGATCTTCCCGGACCGGGACACAAACCCGTGTCCCCTGCATCGGCAGGCGGACTCTCAACCACTGCGCCACCAGGGAAGCCCTACTGTTAGATTATTAAGCAGTCCCTGCCATTCTCATCACCCACTCCCCATGTCTGACTTATCTAAAATTCCACCATTCCTTTAGAGTTGGAGCACATTGACATCAGTTGTTTGTGCTTTAGTGGAAATAGTTTTAGCTACTATTTCCTATAAAACTTACCACTTTGGGGAATGGGGACGGGTAATTTTAAAGTGACACAGAGGATGAGGAAGTAGCATAGTCGTAAGGGCTTGGGCTCTAGGGTCACAGAATAGGATGTCAGGATGAAGCCAAGTGTGCCTGAAATAGAAGCTAAGGTACATAGTACAGGTATGAGGTAGAGGGAGGATTTGCCTCAGAGGCCTTTCTACTGTCTCTCAAATACTCCTTACACTGATAAAAAAGTCAGGTTCACCCGATCAATAATCATAGTACGGCAGGCTTGCTGAGAACAAGAGAATCCTTCACACTTAGAGGAAGAGATTTCATGGGGTGAAATCTCAAGGTCCCTGGAGCCTAAATTATAATTCAGCCATTTAGCTAGGATGCGCCAGGCAATGAGCTCCTGTTTTAGTATGTGTAATCTTTACATCCCTGTAATGTGGATTTGGTTTCCTTCTTTTCAGAGATAGGGAAACACATCAATATAGATTAAAAGTAATTTGCCCAAGATTGTACAGCAAGGAAGGATGAGGCTAACATTCAAACTTAGGCACTTTACTTGGTATTACAGTTTTTGAATTAACATAAATGAAGATTATACATACTTATTAAATTTTTTTTTCTTTTTAGCTTTGGCTTCAGTGACAAAGTCACCATGAATGGTCACGTCCCAGTTGGATTGTATGGGAATGGCTTCAAGTCAGGTTCTATGCGTTTGGGTAAAGATGCAATGGTTTTTACCAAAAATGGAGAAAGCCTGAGCGTGGGCTTCTTGTCTCAGACCTACTTGGAAGTCATAAAAGCAGAACATGTTGTTGTCCCAATAGTGGCATTCAACAAACAACATATCCTTTCGATTTTGAAATTGAAACTATGAAGAAATAATCTGAACCATTCCATCCTTCTGCCCTCCTCCAGATTCTTGTTTTTTAATCATACCTTCCATTCTAGCTCTTGTTCCTATCCACTGCCTCTACTCTACATCTGGACTAAATGTTTGTCCCTTTGTGTTCTCTTTTGGAATTGTGCCATGGAAATCCTTAGCATAAGGCGATTGTATTGTATGTTAAGCTTCTTTATTTCAGTCTTTTTGTGGTCTGATAAGCTTATGATCGGGCTTGAAATATTCACCAAAAACCATGAAAAAGCAAGATATCCTTAGGGAAATGTCTTCTCTATAAACATACAAATATTGGAAATAATTAAAGTAGGAATAATAATAAACTTCTTCATACTTCATCCTTCTTGATGTTCATTTGAAATCACACTGTCATTTTAAAACTTAGAAAATAATTTAGGAAATGGTTTTTCAGTTATTTTGAGTTGGTTTCCATATCATAATTATGAAAAATACGCCATTGGTCTAAGTCTTTAACTTAGTATATACGACAGATAATTAATTTAACAGAATCGAAAGCGAGTCTTGCTGCAATTCTGGAACATTCTCTGTTTTCTACGGAACAGAAATTACTGGCAGAACTTGATGATACTGTCATGGGTAAGAAGGGGACGAGGATCATCATTTGGAATCTCAGAAGGTAAATGGTAGACCTCAGCTAGTTGTTAACCATTTGGGAAGTAAAGTGCATGTGTGGGAATAATTTCATTACATTCATGCTTTGTCACACAAGAGTGCAAATATATTGGAAGGTCCTCATTTTATGGCATAGTTAATGATTTACCTTTTCCAAGGGTATTTTATTGAGGCTACTTTGGCTTCAATTTGAGATAATTTCATATTACTAAAAATAAATTTCCTAGCCCTGCCATTCTGTCTCCATAGCACTCTATTTTCGCTCTTGGTTATACCATCCCTCTCCTCAAAAAAAAAAAGAGAAATGAAACGAAAAGATAAAGCCCAGCCAACAAGTCCCAACTTGAGTAAGTTAGAGAAATCTTTGTCTGTTTGGTTAATTAAATAAAGCCAAGCACAATTCAGCGTCTGTTGAGAAAAATAATATAAATGAGACTTCTGTGTTGCTAAATCTTTGTGAGGATAAAATCCTTTGCAAATAAAGTTTTAAAATTTAGGGTAAATGTGTGATATTGAGAGATCTAAGATCTGTTGAACCATAGGAATAAAGCACACATAGTGATAATCCTAAAATCCTTTAATTCTTGTGCTTTTCTGACCACCTGTATTCCGTTTTTCTTTTATTTTCTTTTTCTTACTTTCTTTGCTGCCCCTCCCATCCCCACCACCATTTTTTCTTTAACTTTTAATTTTGAGATAATTGTAGATTCATATGTAGCTGTAAGAAATCTCATGTACTCTTTACCCAGTTTCCCCCAATGATAACTTCTTGGAACACTACAGTACAGTAGTACTGTTGATACTGACATTGATACAGTCAAGGTACAGGACAGTTTCATCAGCTCAAGGATCCCTTTTATATCCACACCCACTTCTTCCTTAATCCCTGGCAATGAAGATTCATCCAGGTTCTTGTGTGTGTCCGTTTGCCTCCTCTTACTTGCTGAGTGGTAATTGCATTATATGGATGGACCACAGTGTGTTTACCAGTCTGGTTCTTTACAAGTTTCATTTATTACAAATAGAGCTATAAAACAGGGGTTCCCAACCTTTTTGTCATCAGGGTCCGGTTTCATGGAAGGCAGTTTTTCCACAGGGTGGGGCGGTGGGGTTCAGGCAGTAATGCAGTGATGGGGAGCAGCAGGTGAAGCTTTATACCTCCTGCTGTGCGGCCGGTTCCTAACAGGCTCGGGGGTTGGAGACCCCTGCTATAAAATGTGTGCATAGAGATTTTTGTGGGAATATGGTCATCATTTTGTGGGCTAAATGCCCAGGAGTGTAATTGCTGGATCATATGGTAGTTGCATGTCTATTTTTTTAAGAAACTATCAGAATGTGGCTCTATCATTTGACATTCCCAATGGCAATGTGTGAATGAATACAGTTCTTTTCTGTACCTTCTGGGTTTCTTTTCTCCCTCCCTCCCTCCCTCCCTCCAACTCCTCTGACCTTAACTGCCACCACATGTTCGTGTTTTGTTTTGCTAACTAAAAGTTTTTTGCTTGCTTATCTTATGGTGAAGTTAAAATTTAGCTCTTATAAAAATATTATTTTGCAGCTACAAAAGTGCAACAGAGTTTGATTTTGATAAGGATAAATATGACATTAGAATTCCAGAAGATTTAGATGAGACAGCAGGGAAGAAAGGGTACAAGAAGCAAGAAAGGATGGACCAAATTGCCCCTGAGAGTGACTATTCTCTGAGGGTATGTATTTAGCTCTCTTTGTGGGAGTGAGAAAATCATCAAATAATGGAAATTGTTAACCACTTGTATTATAAATGCTGCCAGAAATCTCTGAAGTATCTCAGACATGAACCAACTTACTAAATTTGTCTTGTGCGCACTGCTTGTTTTATTTGCTTAGAAAAGTTTTTTAATTGCGAAGTCATAAGGTCTAACAGTGCTTGTAAAAGTTCTTTCGCTGTGTGGTTAATTATTTGAATTAGGAATACTAGAATCAGTTTGTCCTGTGATGGCCATATTGATTGATTCAATCAAAACACCAGATTCAGAGTGTGTCTTTTAAAATTTAAAATATTCTTTAGAACACGCACACACACATTGATACCCTAAAGCAATAAATTATGTATAGCCTATACATAATGCACGTTAGTATAATTTTGTGATAAATACCTTTGAGATTTGACCTTAGAGATGAGAATGTTTTCAAGATTGAAGGAATTAATATCTCAATATAACAGTGTTGATATAATAAGAATATTAAGTTTCGGGCTTCCCTGGTGGTGCAGTGGTTAAGAATCCGCCTGCCAATGCAGGGGACACGGGTTCAAGCCCTGGTCCGGGAAGATCCCACATGCCGCGGAGCAGCTACGCCCATGCGCCACAATTACTGAGCCTATGCTCTACAGCCCACGAGCCACAATTACTGAGCCCGCACGCTTAGAGCCCATGCTCCGCAACAAGAGAAGCCACCACGACAAAGAGTAGCCCCCGCTTGCTGCAACTGGCGAAAGCCCACGCAGCAACAAAGACCCAACCCAACGCAGCCAAAATAAATTAATTAATTAAAACAAAAAATATTAAGTTTCTTAGTCACTATGATAAGACATATAATACTATTCCCTTTTTTTCCTTCTTTTTGTTTTTCTTGGCTGCACTGCGGCATGTGGGATCTTACTTTCCCGACCAGGGAGAGTGGTCCTAACCACTGGACCACCAGGGAATTCCCCTTTTCCCTTTTTTTGTGCTAAAATTATTTCATAACCCCAAGCTAAGGATTCATTTGACGTTTACAAGTATACTATGTAATTTTTTCTGAGATTCTAGCAGTTAAAATGGCAGCTATTACTATTCCTTGATCTACCCCAGTGTGTTAGTGAAGTATGTCCTAGTTGTTAAGAAAATCTTAACTCAAGAATATCCAGAGGTAGCCAGAGCAGATGGTATAATGTTAGTGTACCATGAAAAAAATGTTTTAAAATATCATTAATGAATTTTATAAATGGGCAAAACATCACTAATTTTGAAATCAGGAGTCAGGAAAAAAAATAAGAGAAATGTTCAAATTTTAGTTTTGTGTTGAACTTTTCATATATCCTCCTTGAGTTGTTCAGTTCATTTCCCTCAGAGATTTCTGATAGCTTGGAGATAGGCACAGGAGATCATATTTAACATGTTTTAGGATGCAAAGTTTGGTCACAGTTCTAAGGTATCTAAACTTCCATGTATTAAGAATTGAAAACACGTTTAGGGAATTCCCTGGCGGTCCAGTGCTTAGGACTAGGCACTTCCACTGCCATGGCCCGTGTTCAGTCCCTGGTCAGGGAACTAAGATCCCGCAAGCCTCAGCGCGGCGAAAAAAAAAAAAAGAAAGAAAGAAAAAAAGACTTGAAAACACATTTAGATGACTGCTGATTTTTACAGCTCCATATGGAAGAAGTGCTGTTTGTCTACTCTGCTGAAATGTTGCTGCATTATTTATGATTTTTTTCCTTTTCAAGCTTACAATAGTCCCTTTTGTTTATATTAGATTTTGCTTATTTTTGCCCAAATAAAATTTATTGATGCTTTTAAAATTATAATAGCAATATATAGTTTTGACAGGAGAGTCAGAAAATAGTCCTCTTTGTACACATAAACATGTTTTTAAAATTAAAATGAGACCATACTATACATGCTGTTTTTTAACTTTTTTTCACTTAACATATCAACATCTATGTAGGTCAGTAGGTTGTTTTCTGTAAGTCATTTTACTGGCTACAGTATATTGAGCTTGTTTTTAATAAAAAGTATTCAGATATTAACTAATACACCTTTATAGTCTATAGTATTTTATTGAAGAGTTAATGCATCTTTTATCAAAGCAAGGCAGTAGCTTCCCTTTTTAAATACATGGCATAAGTAATGTTGAACAAATCCATAGATAATTATTTGGAAAGGACAGATAATTGTGTGTCTTTGCAGGCTTACTGCAGTATATTATATCTAAAGCCACGAATGCAGATCATCTTGCGTGGACAGAAAGTGAAGACACAGCTAGTTTCGAAGAGTCTTGCCTACATTGAACGTGATATTTATCGACCCAAATTTTTAGTATCCTTCATTTTGCTTGTTATGATGCTGTATATAGATATGTATCAGTCAAGTGTATTTCCCTTCCCCCTTTCTCCTTTTATCCTGATAGTCAATCCTCTCCAACTTTTGCCCTTTTTTGCACCTTTGGACTCAAAAAATAATGAGGGCTGGTGGCGCAGTGGTTGAGAGTCTGCCTGCCAATGCAGGGGACGCGGCTTCGTGCCCGGGTCCGGGAAGATTCCACATGCCGCGGAGCGGCTAGGCCCGTGAGCCATGGCCGCTGAGCCTGCGCATCTGGAGCCTGTGCTCCGCAACGGGAGAGGACGCAACAGTGAGAGCCTGCGTACCGCAAAAAAAAAAAAAAAAAGAAAGAAAGAAATAGGAAGGGTGGTTTAAAGGGAGTGAGGTGGTGTGTTCAGAATTTTCCTTAACATTTAAGACTAATAAAACTGTGAGAATTACTTTTGGATTCAACTGCAGAAATAAAGATCATTATGGGATAATGATGTATCACAGAAATAGACTCATCAAAGCTTATGAAAAAGTTGGATGTCAGTTAAGGGTAAGTTTATATCTGAAAATTTCTGTATCTTTTATAAAAGTTAGGATAACAGGGCATCCCTGGTGGCGCAGTGGTTGAGAGTCTGCCTGCTGATGCAGGCGGACACGGGTTTGTGCCCCGGTCCGGGAAGATCCCACATGCCACGGAGTGGCTGGGCCTGTGAGCCATGGCCGCTGAGCCTGCGCGTCCGGAGACTGTGCTCCACAACGGGGGAGGCCACAACAGTGAGAGGCCCGCTTACCCCAAAAAAAAAAAAAAAAAAAAAAAAAAAAAAAGGATAACGTGTTATCAGGTCAAATGTGAAACAATGTGCTTTTTGCCTAATGACTTTTAAATGTCAATGTTTTTAATAACATTGGTATGGCACTTGACCTTAGAACGCTTTTATATTAATTTGAGTACAGAACATTTTATCTCTTTTACAGATGAGGGGGATTGGGGCTAATAAGTAACCCGCCTTAGACCTCAGGCACAGGTGCAGATATTTTCTCTACACTTGGAAAAGGACCCTTGATTTTTTTCATACTAGAATAAAATTGATTGGTTTTAATTAGCTGTTGACTCAATAGCCTAAAAAATAGTATCTGATAGGTGATTTACTTTTCTGGAGTTAGTTCCTGAATATATCAGAGTTTTCCTCCTAAACCACTTCCATTGTTGTAGAATTCAGTTTAGGATGGTGAACATTGCCCACTATGTCGATCTGTTTATCCTTTACCTGTTTTCACAGAAAATTTTTTTGTTGTGTGTGTGTGGGTGTTAAGAATTTGTGATAAATTCTGAAATTCAGCTTTGTTAAAGGTTTTAAGTCCAGGCATATTTTGTTTTCCAATTCTATGATGTTCATTTTCTATTCATTTAATTCCATTCTAAATTCTTTGCAACAACATGGATGGACCTGGAACATAGTATGCTTAATGAAGTATAATATGTCAGGAAAAGACAAGTACTGTATGTTACCGTTTATATGTAGAATCAAAAAAATAAAACAAGTGAATGAATGTAACAAAACAGAAACAGACTCACAGACACGGAGAACAAACTAGTGATTTCCAGTGGGGGCAGGGTGGCAGGGGCAGATATGGGTAGGGGATTAAGAGATACAAACTACTATGTATAAAATAAATAAGCCACAAGGATATATTGTACAGCACAGGGAATATAGCCAATATCTTATAATCTTAAATGGAGTCTATAAAAATATTGAATCACTGTGTCATACACCTGAAACTAATATAGTATTGTAAATCAGCTATATTTCAATTTTTAAAAAAGTAAATGAGGGCTTCCCTGGTGGCGCAGTGGTTGAGAGTCTGCCAGCCCTTGCAGGGGACACGGGTTCGTGCCCTGGTCCGGGAGGGTCCCACGTGCCGCGGACGCGGAGCGGCTGGGCCCGTGAGCCATGGCCGCTGGGCCTGCGCGTCCGGAGCCTGTGCTCCGCAACGGGAGAGGCCGCAGCGGTGAGAGGCCTGAGTACCGCAAAACAAAAAAAAAAAATGTAAATGAACTTTGTTGGGCTCTTCTTTATAACCACTGATTTCAATTAGAAAAATAAATCCAGAAATATGACAACCATGATACAAGGTATCAATAACTTTTATTTAAAATGCTAATTTTTATTTATAATTGGAATAGAATTTTTTTTTTTTTTTTTTCAATACGCAGGCCTCTCACTGTTGTGGCCTCCCCCGTTGTGGAGCACAGGCTCCGGACGCGCAGGCCCAGCGGCCATGGCTCACGGGCCCAGCCGCTCCACGGCATGTGGGATCTTCCCAGACCGGGCAGTCCCCTGCACCGGCAGGGGGACTCTCAACCACTGCGCCACCAGGGAAGCCCTGGAATAGTAATTTTTGCCAGAAATACTCTATGAAGTTCTGAATTTCACTGGTAATTGGAAATGTATTTTTGGTAATAGGCCTTATTTCTCAAGTGTTTTGACTTAAGGTACATAATCCATTTTTCCAACCCAGTTAAATTTGCATTATATATAATTTCTGGTTAAGTTTAACCTTGTAAAAAATATGCTTTTACGGCCAACTTTTTTTTTTTTTTAAATAAATGTATTTTATTTTTGGCTGCACTGGGTCTTCGTTGATGTGCGCGAGCTTCCCATTGCGGTGGCTTCTCTTGTTGCAGAACACGGGCTCTAGGCACACAGGCTCAGTAGTTGTGGCACACGGGCTTAGTTGCTCCACAGCATGTGGGATCTTCCTGGACCAGGGATCGAACCCATGTCCCCTGCATTGGCAGGTGGATTCCTAACCACTGTGCCACTAGAGAAGCCCTACAGCCAACTTTTAATGTTTTTCTTTACCAGAAGATGGACTGGTCGTAGTATTTGGATTCAGTAAACATTTATTAAATACTTGGTATGATTTTCCACGCTAGATGCTCAGCATAAAAAGATGAAAATGTACAGCACATGCCCCCAGAGCTCTTTCTGATGAGGGGAATGTGGTATATCCTTGAAGCAGCAGAAAGGGCTTCTTGTAGAAAGTGGTGATTGAGATGAGACTGAGCTGATTTACTGTTTGGGAAAGTCTGGCAAGAGCTTTCTAGACAGAGAAAGGAATGTCTGCAAATGAAAAGAAAGAGGCTTCTGAGAGGATGGCATCATTAAGGGAGTTGTTATGCCTGGACCAGGTAGTAAGTGGGGAATGGGAGAGAGGAAGATGAGGCCAGAAAGGAGGTGAAAAAGAACTAAAATTGAAGTGTTCTGTGGTTTACAAGTTGTATGGAATGAGGAACCACTGATGGTTTTTAGTGGAGTAGCATTATGATTAGGTTTTCATGGTTTTGTCTATAGTTGCATCTATGAAAATTCTCAGAAGTCAGTATTTCACTTTTTCTCTTTATACTTAGACTCAGCTATAGTCGTGAACAAAATACATGTATTAATCACATGTAGATAATCAGAAAATGACTCAGATACTTTGAGTTCAGTGTTTTAGCTAGCAGGTTTAAAAAATAACCTAGGTCAGTTGAATTAAAGTTTTTACTTCATCACAATAAACAACTGAATGTGTAACTTTGGATAAATGTCTTTAATTTTTATCTAACAAACTTATGGAATATTATGTGCCAAAGCCTTTGCTAGGCACTATGGATACAGGAAGGAGTTACTTGTGGTTTTTAGTAGCTAAAAAATTGCATCCCAGTAGAGGGGATCTTTTTTCCCTAGTATAAAATCGGGAATGATAATACTTGTCTACATGAATACTTGATAGCAGTGGAAGTGGTTTTGGAGGAAAGCTGTTGTTACATATTTAGGAGTTAGCTCCCAGAAAGGTAAATTACCTACCAGACACTGTTTTTCAATCTAAATGTCATGAGAATCAGATAAAATATAGGAAAATGTTTCATGCAGATCTTAAATCTTGGTGAAGGGATAATTGGTTGAAGCATCATGTTTCATGTTTAAAATGCCAGTTTTATTTTTCAGGCAAACAACATGGGTGTTGGAGTAGTGGGGATTATAGACTGTTATTTCCTAAAGCCAACTCATAATAAACAAGATTTCGATTATACTAACGAATACAGGTATGTTACCTATTTAAATGACTGACTTCTTACTATTTATTTTGGAAATACTTTCATAACTTTTTCTAAGCTGGATTTCTTGCTGTTTTGTGGGAAGCTTGCATAGAAAACACATGTAATCATTTTCTCATCCCTGGGGATTGTATTCTACTCTGTCACAAATAGAAATATATTCTCCTCTGTCTTTACTGATGAAGAATTTTTGAGATTTGTACTAAATAGAGGAAGTTCCTGCTTTCTTGGTAACATTTTTTTGTGTAATATAAAATCCAGAAACTTTGATCTTGAATGGGAACTTTAAGATAACTTAGTCCTATGTACTTGAGACAGCTCATATCTTTTAAGAGTGATCAGAAGCCATAAAATAAATATGACCATCAGTTATACTTGTAAATTTAGGAAGCACAAACAGTTGTCCTAATGAGCATATATTATGAAGAAGAATGCAAACTTCATATAAAAACAAAGTGGAAGGAGGGAAATGATAATGAACAAAATCAGCAAATTAGGAAACACACAATAGAGAAAATCAATAAATACTCAGAGTATAGTCCTGAGACAGAAGCTACCCCTGTTATTTGAACAGGGAAAATATAGGGAGTTGTTAACCAGAATAGTAGAAGGTGATCACTCAGAGAGGTGAAAGAGGACAGTAGATGTCCAGAACTAGCTGATACAAAAGAGGAGCTGTTACCTCTAGGTTGAAAAAGAGTAGACAATAAAGGAACTAAGAGAGGATCCCCGGTCCCTGATGTCAGAGATTCAGATCTCTTTGCAGAGGTCATGACAAACACAGGAACAGGCCACCTGCCATGGCAAGAAGCTTGCCAGAAGGCCTGGCCAGTCTGGGTCTGTAGACATGGCCTGCTGTTGCCAGGGGATGTGGGTGGGCTTGGGCTGGAGCTGTTCTGTAGAGGAGACCTGTCTGTGCCCAAGGGTGTGAGTATATGCTGGAACTGGTTCCTGCTGCTGGAGGGAAGAGCG